CCGTTGTTTTTTCCTGTGCATAGAAGCCTACGCAGGGGTTATGTGATGCGGGAGAAATTTGGGATGTATGGTTAGGAGTAAGGGCGGCCTGGTGGTCCAGTGGTTAGCGCGTTGACCTCACAGTGCAGAGGTCGTGGATTCGAGGAGGTACCAGGTTCGATTCCGGCTCCGGACTCCCTGTGTGGAGCTTGCATGTTCTCCAAATTGTCCCTCGGTGTGAGCGTAGATGGTTGTTCATCTGTGTGTGCCCCGTGATTGGCTAGAGTTACACATAGAATAACATTTTCTTCTTTAAAATTTTATTTATTTATTTATAGATTTTTCTCCAAGTCCTAAATCTAGTTCAGATGCAAATGTGCTTCATGAACCTCATTGCCAGTGACTGATGGAAGTAATGAAACTTCGGGATGAACTCTCAAACCACTGAATGTTAAAATAAAAACTTAAAAGAAGGTTGCTTGATCCATCCATCCATTTTTTTTTGATCCGCTTATCCTTACAAGGGTGGTGGGATGTGGTGGAGCCTATCCCAGCTGTCTTCGGGCAGTTGGCGGGGGACGCCCTGAACTGGTTGCCAGCCAATTGCAGGGCACACTCATACCGAGGGACAATTTAGAGTGTTCCATTAACCTGTGCCACGCATGCTTTTGGAGTGTGGGAAGAAACTGCAGTTCTCTGAGCTGGAATCGAACTCTGCACTAAGGCCGACGTGCTAATCAGTCGACTACCAGGCCGCCTTGGTTGCTTGATCATTGAATAAAATTCAAATCAAATCTTCTGTTGATTAATGAGTCTCTTTAAAGGGGGGAAGCTGTGCATATCGACATTAACTTGATAATTGACTATGAATATGGAAGGTAGAATTTAAAGCAATGTCCAATTAATATTACTGTCATGTTCCGTATTCGACAGCAGGTGGCAGGCACTCACTCTGCCACCTGCACACCTGTTGCGCATTTGTTTTTGATTGCACCTGCTATATCTAGGCGCTCCGGCTGTCAACTCATTGCCGGAGTATTGCTTGCCGTGCCACTGCTATTGCCCATGCTCGTATTTCGTATTCGCACTCTATTGCTATTCGCTACTATTTCGTCATCCCAGTGGGATTCTCTTTAACGCGTAGTTATTCGAAGTAAATTGTCTTATCTTTTCCTTGCCGTTTTTTGCAAGCGCTTTCTTTTCCTCTCGTTACATTATTTCCTGGTTCTCGTTTTGACCAGCGTTTTCTGTTTTCCTTTGACGGTGTTTTTTCGTTTGTAATAAATATTATTTGTTAGACAAGACCTTGTTCAGTGCCTGCTATTTCGGGGATCCACCTATTCTTGTTTGCTCCGTTGCGTACGAAGCAGCTCTCTCCTTCTGCCTAGTACGCAACGTGACAATTACCACAAATGCTGAAAAAATATATATAGTCTATAGGATTGACATTTTTTAAAAAGTATGGATGTCAACACACCCATTAAAATGATTTCGGTTTGTCCAATAAAATTAGTTTGTTCATCCCTGCTGTAAAACCTTGTGGAGCAGCATCTTGACGGAGCGCTCATGAGGAAAAAAAAAACAATTGAGTTGTGCGATCGGACAAACGTAGGCGAACTGAAACAAAATTGTCGAACTGAACAAATTTGACGATTTTCAAAAAACGTTCCACCCCAGATAGGTTGGTAGTTATTGAGAGGTAAGTATGTGGTTGTCTTCAGACTTAATCAGTCATATTCAAACTAGTGTTCAATGGGAATCAGCACACACCTGCACCATAGTGCCTCTGATTAGCCCTAAACGAACTTCAGATGTTCTAATAATCTTTTCCAGACATTTGGGTCATCACATTTTAGAGCACAAGCCATGGTCTGCAATTAGCTTCCAGATGATCATATGAATCTTATTGTTCAAAGTAAGCAGTCAGTCAAAAGAATTTCCGTGGCATTAAATATACCATAGAACACAGTGAAGACCGTTATTGTGATGTGGAGAAAATATGCCACAATGATGCCAGGATTAAAGAACTGGATGTTCCTCAGAAACTGATGAAAAGAACAGAAAATTGGTCATGGAGGCTGCCAAGAGGTCGACAGGGACATGGAAGAGCAGCAGAAATTTCTGGCAAGTACTGGTTGTACTGTTTAGTATTTGTGACAACAAGCTCACGTCCTTCAAATATCTAGAAAATGGGGTAGGGTGGCAGGCCAGGAAACCATCAAACAAAGAACACATACACATGAAATCTCCCATCCCATGTGGGAAAATGTGTTATGGTAGGATGTAAACCAAGTTTAAACTTTTCGGTCATAATTAAAAAAGGTATGTTTTACGCAAACACAACACAGCTCTTCACCAAAACGTCACCATACCTACAATGAACTATGATGGCGGCAGCATTATACTTTTCAAAATAGTAGTCTGTGTTAGCACAAAACCTGTCGGCTCTCCTCGAAAGTGAAAAAAAGAAATGTCAGGAAAAACCTACTAGAACATCTGAACTTAATTTGAGGTGAACTAAAGGCACTTGAGATGGTAGCAGATGTGCGGTGACTCACATTTAACATGAGTTTGATTGTGATTTGTCGAACCCCCACTGAAAGAGGATGTGCACACTTGTATAGATACATGATCTTTTTTTTTTTTTTTTTACCCTCTTCAAAAGATTTACTTTTTATTTTCAATTCAATTGTGTATTTTTTATATTATTGGTTTGGCTTGATCTCATTTTTTATATCACAAAAACCTTGCATTTGAAAAGAGGAATTGTTCAGATCACCATCTCGAGGTAGAAACGCTGGTAAGTGGTGTTGACCATCCTCCAAGGCCTAAGTCTCCCCATCCAATCATGGTGCCCTCGTCCTCACGTATGAGTGACACAGATTCAGCGGTGGCATCTTGTTTGGCTTGAACCCAAAGCGCCTTTTTCAGCCACACACAAAAACACAGCCAAGTGTGCCAAGTGTTGTAACAAGGCACGCAGGAGTAACTTTACTTTCCCAATTACACTCTTTGCTTTGGAGTCAAGCCAAGTGTCATTCACCTGAAATGTGCATAGAGATGAACTCAAAACAAGTGTCATGTGTTGCTTTTGTACGCACGTTTGCCAAGAAGTGTGTGAGCGTGTGTTTTGTCCCTCACAATGAAAATGGAATTTGTGTAAACCTGTAATTTAACCGTAAACGTTAGTACATCATAATACAAATATATTTGCATGCTATATTTAGACTGAAGAGTAAAATTATGGAAATATAATGTACCGCAGTGGCAGTACTCAATCTCAAAATGATCATTCGTGAGCTTCCTCGTTATGAAACCTTTAGCACCATCCAGTGGATTTCGAAAAGCATAACACCAGATTGACCGACTCAGTCGACGAAATGACACTGTGAACAAATGTGCTAAGAATTGCGCGTGACATCGACCCTCGTGAGGATGAAGCGGTTCAGATAATGGATTGTTTTAAAAACACGACAAAACAAGCAAATTAAATCGAGAAAATAAAAATATATACAACCTACCTTAGCGCAGCATCGAGTAAAATAATATATAATACGTTAAACTAAAGTACTGAATCAAATACAATTAAAAAACAATAGCACACTATTCAATGCAATGCTGTAATATGAGATGCATTTCAATGTTATTTATGTTATTCAAAACCTATGGTGGCTGACGGGCAAACGGCCGAAAGCAGAAACCACAGGAATGGTTCAAACAAACACAAAAAACATAAACAGACAATCACACATATGCTAATTAAATTACAGCCAAAAAGTGCAAAACAGAAACGCTACAAGCGAGAAATGATGCAAACAGCCCAATGATGCGAACAAAAAAACATAAGTCCAAGAAAAGTGTGTGTGTGTGTGTGTGTGTGTGTGTGTGTGTGTGTGTGTGTGTGTGTGTGTGTGTGTTTATAAATATATATCACATAAACAACATCGGGCGGCCCAGTTCTCACAGTGCAGAGGTACCAGGTTCAATTCTAGCTCCGGCCTTCCTGTGTGGAGTTTTGTTCTACCTGGGCCTGCGTGGGTTTTCTCCAGGTTTTCCGGTTACGTCCCACATTCCAAAAACATGCATGGCAGGCTAATTGAACACTCTAAATTGTCCCTCAGTGTGAGTGTGAGCACGGATGGTCGTTCGTCTCTGTGGGACCTGCGATTGGCTGGCAACTGGTTCAGGGTGTCCCCAGCCTACTGCCCAAAGACAGCTAGGATAGGCTCCAACATTACAAACCACACACACACACACACACACACACACACACACACACACACACGCTGAAGAAATCCAAAACACACTAACTCAAAAACGACGGCAAGAAATAAATTATTCAAGTTCATGCTACTAAACGGAAGTTTGTCAGGCCACAAGGGGGCAGCGCAGGACCAGTCCTGTGAGACCGGAACATCTTGAAAGACATGACCGGGATTGCCTGATTAGTAGGTACAGGACTCTAATTGGCCATCTTTTAGAGAAAATTGGTGCAATTTACTTCATGTCTTTTTAAACAAATGGACTTTGTCTAGGCCGACATTATAAAAGAGCAGTATAGTTACATGGCTTACACTGTGTTTGTTTCTAAAAACTTGTATGACATCTAATTAACGCAAGACATATATGTTAGAAAAGGGATCGTGGTAAACTGGAGTTTACGTTTAAGACCAGAAACTATCTGACAAATGCGAAATGTGGTTAAATGGCTCCCCCTGGTGTACCTTTTGTACAATAATATTGAGGTTCCGTGGAATGTCATTGAAATACGTTCGCAAATCTGAAAACAAAAAAAGGTTAAAAAAAAGCATACTCTTAATATTTTAGCCATTGCAAAATTAAAGTCAATTCCATACAAATCTTAAAACGTTTTCTGCATTGTTTTCGACGGCAAAGTGTACCTAAAGAAGTGTCCCGCTTAATTTGCCTTAACCCGCTTGCCAGCTGATGTGGTTGCATAGCAACGCCTACTTCAGCGGCGTTGAGTGTTAGTCATAACGTTATCACATCATATAGCGTGGTCTTGCGTGTGTTGCAATCACATCGTCAATAAAGAGCATAAAAACGTGTTTTCGTTGGGTAATTTGAGGTGGCATTAGGACCCGGATGCCTCGTTTCCAGACAGCGGACACCGGTTGATGAATCGGTCCACTGTGCATCTTCTCACCTGACGAGGACCGAACCTTCTCCCTGGTGTCACTCACACACCGAGCGATCGGAGCGCAGCAAAGCCGAGCGAGGAGCGCTTTGTTCGGTGTGAAAAAAAAGAACCCTCGCACTCCCCGACGCCCTCGTGTCGCCTTCTCAGCCATGAGCCAGAGGTTCACCGTCTCCAAGAGCGACGATGTCGGGCTCCCCGCGGACATCCAGGGGGAAGTGAACCTGCTCTTCGAAGGCGAGGGCGAGGGCGACAAGCATCCGAGCGGAGCCGAGTCGGAGGACGATGCAGCTGGGGCCGAAGGAGCCAATTCGGCGGCGGTGGGGACGGAGGCGTGGACGTCCGCGGTGGTGACTCTGAAAGGTAGGACACGCGCGTGGCTACAGGCCACATGCTAGCGCAGATGTGTGACTTGAATGTGGAATGGGCCACAAAAAGGTCACTATCTGGATGAAGTAATATGGCATTTAGGATGACAAATGCGCCCCCCCCCCTTGCAATTGTTACTGCTGCCTGTTCTGCATTACTTGAAATGCTTTGCTTTTTGTTGCATGATGTGCAAACACGTGTTGTTTTAAAGCGTGAATCCAGTTTATAGTCAACTCCATAATAATAATAATAATAATAATAATAATTGGTTTATTGGTATTTATATCATAATAACAATAATAATAATAAATAATGATAAATATTATTATTGTGGTGGGGCGGGCGGTGGTTATGGCATCGACCTCACAGTGCAGAGGTCATGGGTTTGATGCCGGCAGCAGCCTTCCTGTGTGGAGTTTGCATGCTCTCCCCGGACCTGCATGGGTTTTCTCTGGGCACTCTGGTTTCCTCCCACATTCCAAAAACATGCATGGCAGGCTGATTGAAAACTCTAAATTGTCCCTAGATGAGAGTGTGAGCGCGGATGGTTGTTTGTCTCTGTGTGCCCTGTGATCGGCTGGCAAACGATTCAGGGTGTCCCCTGCCCACTGCCTGAAGATGGCTGGGATAGACTCCAGCACCCCACCGTGACTCTTGTGAGGAGAAGCGGTTCGGAAAATGGATGGATGGATTATTGTGGTGACTTTACTTAGGAGTTTAATTAATTCCATTACCATGAATGCAACTTAAAACACTCCCCAATTGTGGTCCTTGTGGTTGTTTTGGCCACCACAGGTTAATATAATACAGACATACAGACACACATAAAGAAGAGCTTCACAACCACAGTGATTCATTTAGATCAGGGGTGCCCAAACTTTTTGGACCGAAGATCGACTTTTCGATCAACCAACCTCCCGGGATCGCCCCTTACCACGCACGCACACGCACACGCACACCCGCACGCCATGATGAGAAACAGCCTGACACAGAGGCATGCGATGCACTTTTGCAGCCTGTTAACTATCGTAGCTCACACGTACCATTTTAAAGTGCTTCTCTGGGCCCTCAAGATTCCTATTCTTTGCCCATGCCCTCGGCGAATTGTACACGAAGCAAACTCTGAAGGATAAAAATGACGATAAAAGAGATCTGATCACAGTTGCAGACTGCTGAGCGCTAACAACTTCCGGTGACGTAGGTCACGCGCCACCGTAGGTAAAAGATTTACCTGCTTTATTTTATTTTATTTTTTAAATATTTTCTTGTGAAAATGAGACTGATAGGATGGATAGGGTGCAGTGTACATTAACACAAAAATATATATGACTAACATGTACAAAGACACACAAATGGTTGTTTGTTTGTTTTCTCTTCTACTTCCCTCAGATCTACTTAGGACAAGTCCTAGATCTACCGGTCGATCAGGGTCGACGTAATGGGCACCCCTGATTAAGATTCTACATTATTAGCTGTTTTTTTTTTTTTTTTTTTTTTTGCATAAGATAAAGATTTATTTGCCTGTGACTATTGCTATATGTTGTTTTATCATTAGTGTTCAAATATCTGTTGCTTCAAGAGTTATCACACCACAACATATAGTCTTTGTTAGCTCATCTATTGCATTGTGTATTAGGCTTCAAGTAGTGGACTTTCCTCATGCAGTTATGTGGTTGTTTTACAGTAAATACGTGACCGGAAATTCTTTTTTTTTTATGTTTAGTTCGATAGTACACTCAATTGAAAGTGGCAATTAACAGCGAGAAGCTTCGTTTTTGAAGAATTATCTAAACTGCTGCTTTTTGGTGAGTTGAGTTGAGAGTTTGCTTCCACATCAACTGTTGATACCTCAAATTTCTGCCCACAAGTTAAAGCAATCAATTCGCTTTTGTCTAAAAAAAACTTGTAAGTTGGGTCCTTTGTAGGGCAAGATACGACATTAATCCTATTATTGTGACTAATGCAATTTTGACAGAAACTGCAACTCTCACATGTATCGCATCAACAACTACATCAAGCAATCAGGTGCTTTTTGTCAGACACTGTTCGGTAATGGCTACTCTTTGCTTGGCTCAATGTTGACTGGTTAGCACGGCCATCTCACAGTGCGGAGGTCATGGATTCGATTCCGGGTCTCAGCCTTTCTGTGTGGAGTTTGCATGTTGTCCTCATGCCTCCGTGGGTTTTCTTCGGGTACTCCGGTTTCTTCCCACATTCCAAAAACATACATGGCACATTGATTGGGCACTCAAAATGGTTCCTAGGTGTGAATGTGAACACGAATGGTTGTTTGGCTATGTGTGCCCTGTGATTGGCTGGCAACCAGTTCAGGGTGTCCCCCGCCGATTGCCCGAAGTCGGCTGGGATATGTCACAGCACGCACCCACTCCTCGTGAGGATAAGCAGCTCAGATAATGGATGGATGTTGGGTTTTGCTTGTTGTTTAATTTCACACTTAATGAGTGGGCAGGCACTGCTGAGTGCCAACTATGTGTGTCCCAATATTGCAGTAAAAAGTACATTTCCCATGATATGTACCCTTCCGGGGCGTCATTAGCCTTATTTTAGGGTGGCTGAAGCCTCCCTAGAATGCTCTTAAGTCCCTCTAAAACAGGGATGGGCAACTTGACTTGACTTTTGGATATTTTCCTATTTTTCTAGGCATTTCCCCCCATCTTTTGTGGAAAACATGTAATGAACATTTATCAGTGTTTTTGAAAGAACGCTATGGGTTTATTTATATTTTTTAAAATATTGTTTAAATTAATCAAAGGGATGCTAAATGTGTGGCTTGCGGCTCACGAGTTGCCCATCCTAAATTATTTATTTGCAATTATTTCATGAATATAATCATAATCTTACCACTTAATCATAAAGAAAACACTCTTATTACTAGAATACCAGTCCATGTTCACTACAGCTATGCTTGCAGTGATCCGTGCTTCAGTCGGGGTAGCAGAGTGGACATTAGGAAAATAATGTCAAGAATGGACCGTAATTAATTACTCGAGTAATGATCATAGATCAATACATTACCTTCACTTCAAACTGTTAGGTAAAGATAGCTCATGTCATGTTTTTTTTAATCCAATTCCAATCTGTTCCACACCATTCGATGTTTTCCATACGACCATGCTTGCTCCCGAACCCGCTGCTGTAAGCGTCTTGTGTATTGTATATTTGATGCTTATCTTGCTAGCAGACGGGGGAGGAAAAGAACCTAAAGAATAATTGATGTAAGAATGTTTGAAGAAAGTAAGTTTTCATCACTGCTGATCGGAACAATTAGTTGGCTGTAGCCCCAGTCTAGCTAACAGAAGAAAGTTCCAAACCATGAACAAGCCTTTCAATAGTTAGTTATAAAGTTTTGAAGTTGGAGTTGAGCTCATTCATTTTTGGTTGTCATCAGTGAATTACAGCAACAAAAGAATAATGACAATAAAAAAAAAAAAAAAAAGAATATATATATAAAACATTGACTTAAGACTGATTTAACTTAAAAAAAGGAGAGTAATGAGCAGGAGGAGGAGAGAGGAGATATTGAAGACTATTTTAAGGCAGCTCTGTATCGTGCTTCATACACAAGAAAACTCAATCTATCCATCCATCCATCCATCCATCCATTTTCTACTGCTTCTCCGGGGGGCAGCAGCGGAGACTGCAGCTTTAGCAGGGAAGCCCAGACTTACCTCTCCCCAGCCACTTCTTCCAGCTCTTCCCGGGGGATCCTGAGGTGTTCCCAGGCCAGCTGGGTGACATAGTCTCTCTGGCGTGTCCTGGGTAGTCCCCGGAGCCTCCTGCCGGTGGGGCACACCTGGAACACCTCACCAGGGAGGCTTTCAGGCGGCATCCTAATCAGATGCCCGAGCCACCTCATCTGGCTCCTCTTGATGTGGAGGAGAAGCGGCTCGACTCTGAGCCTCTCCCGGATGACCGAGCTTCTCACCTTATATCTAAGGGAGAGCCCGGACCCATACTCCCGAAGCACCCCCCACAGAACTCCCCGAGGGACACGGTCAAACGCCCTCTCCAAGTCCACAAAGCAGATGTAGACTGGTTGGGCGATTTCCCATGTACCTTCGAGGACCCTGCGAAGGGTGTAGAGCTGGTCCACTGTTCCAAGGCCGGGACGAAAACCACACTGCTCCTCCTCAAGCTGAGGCTCGACTTCCCGATGGACCCTCCCCTCCAGCACCCCTGAATAGACCTTACCACGGAGGCTGAGGAGTGTGATCCCTCTGTAGTCGGAACACACCCTCCGGTCTCCCTTTTTTAAAAAGAGGGCCACAACCCTGGTCTGCCAATCTAGATGCACTCTCCCCGATGACCACATGATGTTGCAGAGGCGTGTCAAAGAGGACAGCCCCACAACATCCAGAGCCTTGAGGAACTCCTGGCAGATCTCATCCATCCCTGGGGCCTTGCCACCGAGGAGCTTTTTAACCACACTGGTGACTTCAACCACAGAGATAGGAGAGCCCAACTCAGAGTCCTCAGACTCTGCTTCTTCCAAGGAAGGTCTTTGAAGTACTCTGCCCACCGACTCACAACGTCTCGAGTCGATGTCAGCAGCGCCCCATTCCCACTGTACACAGTGTTAGTGGTGCACTGCTTCTCCCTCCTGAGACGTCGGATGGTGGACCAGAATTTCCTCAAAGCTGTCCGGAAGTCGGCTTCCATGGCCTCACCGAACTCTTCCCATGCCCCAGTTTTTGCCTCGGCGACCACTGAAGCTGCATTCCGCTTAGCCAGTCGATACCCATCAGCTGCCTGTGGGGTCCCACAGGCCATAAAGGCCCGATAGGACTCCTTCTTCAGCTTGACGGCATCCCTTACTGCTGGTGTCCCCCAGCGAGTATGGGAGTTGCCGCCACGACAGGCACCAACCACCTTACGGCCACAACTCAGATTGGCCGCCTCAACAATAGAGGCACGAAACATGGTCCACTCAGACTCAATGTCAACATGGCGAAGGCGAAACAGAACCATGACAA